GGGGATGGTATGGGGATGGAAGAGGAATGTAACGGGGATGGTATGGGGTTGGAACGAGGATGGTGTGGGGGTGGAACAGGGATGGGACAGGGTGTCATACAGTGGGTGAATACTGATGCAAATGAAGCCCTAAAGTACTGCCCCAGTGGGAATTGGTGACACTGCTGCAGGGAGGAAGAGGAGGAGGAATAGCTGTGGGTGAAGGCCACCCCCACGTCCCCACCGCAGAACCACGGAAGCGTGTCCTGGGCTGATACGGTCACGGAAGAGCTGAATTTAGCCCTAACCAGGAACCGTGGGAGCTGCTCCTTCCATTGTTGGGGTTGAAATGTCCCCCAACCACGGCCAATCGCCCCATTTCAGCCCACTTCCGCAGCCCTTCCCCCCACTTCCTGCCATGGGCTGCACCCACACTGCGGGGCCATCCTGACCCTGGGTTCTGTTGGCCCTGGGGGACGTGGGGACAGCCCCATAGAACCCCATTCCAGCATCACCCACCCCATGGCCTGCACCACAAGTACTTTTGGGGAGAAAATCCCACTTTTATGAAGCATTTCGGGGGGCTGTGAGGAGCAGCATGCAAAACTGAAGCCTTGCAGCACTGTGGGGCACCCAACCGGATACCCTGTGAGCACCCATGGGAGGAGAGAGGTGCACGGTGAGCAGAGCCCATCGGGGCTGCCCCACCTCACCCTGCAAAAACCCAACCGAAAAATGAAAGTCGAGGGTGGTGAGGCCATGCCCTACCTTCTCCTGTGCCCGGCTGAAGTGCTTCTGGACCTGCTTGGCGAACAGCCCGGCCCCGCTCTTGCCCTCAGCCATGGTTGCTGATGGCTGCGGGGTTCTGCTTGCAGCATCAGCTGTGGTTTGGTTTCTGCTGCGGAAGTTCGAAGCGATGCATCCGCTGAGCTCCGGGCACCCCCGAAACACACAACCAGGGGGTGGGACGGGGAGGGGAGAACACACAGCCGAGCTGTGGCACTTCTCACCCACGTTTCTGTTTTGAGTTTCAATTTTGCTTTTGGACTCACTTCTGCAATTCTTTGCTGTTTGTTTCCCACCTCGAGCGCCATCAGCCGCTCACCAGTGGGGTGTGTGGTTGTGCTTCGACCCTGCAGCACTGGGAGAGGTGATAACAGCACCACATCCATCCCCTCTCATTCATTGCAAATGAATTTGCTCTGGATGTCCTCGAGCCCAATGGGGGGTGTGGGGAGCACGAGGCACTGTGGGACATGGGGGTGGCATGGGGAAGGGGTTGGGGATGGGGATGGTGTGTGGGGTGGAATGAGAATGGGGATGGGATAGAACATGGATGAGTTGGAGATGGAATGGGGATGGGGACGGGGATGGGATGGGGATGGGGATGGGATTGAGGGTCTACGATAAGTCCTTCCCCTGACAGCTTCCTGCTCCTCAGGGGAGCAGTTTTTCCCTTCTTTCATCCAAGGACACTTCAGCTTTCCAGGCCTGGTTGTTTTTTCCAAGACTCTGTGCAAGGCAGAAGGGGGCCTGGCCAAAGGGAACCTGACAAAAAGGATACTGCAAATGATGAGATTGGAGAAGAATTGCACGAACGCAGGCAAAAGAAGTGGGGCAGGGCATCCCCAGCGTTGCTGAGGAGAAACAACAGCCAGCACGTTCTCGCTGAAGAACACAGTTTATTGATGCTAGCTTTGAGACATAAATGTCCCCAGCTGAAATGCTCTATGTCCACATTCACAGCTGGGGTTGGGGTTCTCCTCCTGCTGCTGCTTTGTTCTAAGAGATCACCTGGAGGGAGAACGAGGAGTGTAACCCCACAAATCCACAGCACTCCCATTGAGTCGCTAGCATGGCCCTAATGGGTGCTGCACACCCCACTGAGTGCTCCATGCCCCATTGGGTGCCCTATTCCTCGGGTGCTCCATTCCCCATTGGATACTCCATCCCTGTTGAGTACTTCACACCCCATTGGATGCTCTATTCCCCACTGGTTGTTCCATTTCCCTTGGAGTTCTCCACTCTGTTGGGTGTTCCACATCCCACTGGGTGCTCTATTCCCCATTGGGTTCTCCATTTCCCCTTGGGTGCTCCACGCCTTCCCAGTGGGTGGAGAAGCCATGCAAGCCCCCTTCACACGACCCCACTGGAAAAAACAAAACCCTTCCACCCCGTCTCCTTACGCTGGATATCCAGGAGATGTAGGCAGAGACGCGGGTGAAGACGGTGGGCTTGTTGCGTGTGTTGCAGCCCAAGCTGGAGACGAAGCTGGTGATGCCGTGCACTTGGTACACCCCATCAACTTCACAGTTCAGGGGGCCTCCCGAGTCGCCCTATGGAGGGGCACCCATCAGAGCGGGGCTGTAACAGGGCTGGGGGTTGAGGCAGTGAGGTGACAGGGCTGTACCTGGCAGCCGGCGCGCACGCCATCCCCGCCGGCACAGATCATGGTGTTCTTGACAGTGGAGCCCCAGTAGGAGGACCTGGAGCAGGTGCTGTAGCTCACGACGGGCAGGTACGCCTGCTGCAGCACGCTCGACAGCTGCCCATTGGCTGCAAGTGACCAAGGGTCCATTAAAACCCATAGACCCCATAACACCCCCCAAAATATTTGCACGGCAGCATCCAACCTTGAGCATCCCATAGAACCTCTGAAAATATTTGCACGACAACATCCATCCCACGGGGGACCTCATCCCGTGTCCAAAAGTGATTAACCTCCTCCATTTTCCCACATCCTTAATGAATTTTCGTGAGCCCTGTAAAACTCCTCAATATTTTTTGCATGACCTCATCCAACCTTGAGCATCCCCACGTCTTGTAGGACTTCAACCCACTTCCAAAAAGGATTTACCTCCTCCATTTCCCCATTTTGTTAGGGGATTTTGGTGAGCTCTATAAAACACCCCAAAATATGTTCATGACCGCATCCAACCTTAGGCACCTCACAAAATCTCCCCAGATATTTGCATGACCACATCCATCCCTTATAGGATGCCTTGTAGGACTTCAACCCACTTCCAGGAACGATTAACCTCTCCCATTTTTCCCACATTTTTAGTGAATTTTAGCAAGATCTGGAAGACCCCCCCAAAATTTTGCATGACCGCATCCAACCCTGAGCATCCTCATGTCTTGTGGGACCTCAACCCCCTTCCAAAAAGGATTTACCTCCCGTCTTTTTGTTTTCAGTAGATTTTGACGAGTCCCGTAAAACTCCCCCAGTACATTTCATGATCCCATCCAACCATGAGCATCTCCTTGCCTTGTAGGGTCTCAATTCGCTTCCAGAAAGGACGAACCTCCCCCATTTTCCCACATTTTGGGGGGATTTTTGTTGATCCCCACAAAACTCCCCGTTACATTCGCACCACCAAATCCGTCCCCACTCACAACGCCTCGTGGGACCTCAACCCACTTCCAAAACCTGACAAGCAACCCCAATTCCCTAAAATCTTCAGGGATTTGGGGATGAGTGTCCCTGGGATGCCCGTGTCGGTGGCACTCACTGCGGGTCAGCCCCCAGCCGCTGATGTAGCAGGGGTAGTTGTTGGACAGCACTGTGCCCTGGCTGGGCAGCACCGCCAGCTGCACGTAGCTGTTGAGCGTGGCAGAACCCGACAGGCGGAGCAGCGCAATGTCGTAGCTGTGGGGAATCACAGAATCACAGCATTGTAGGGGTTGGAAGGGACCTCCACACATCATGGAGTCCAACCCCCTGCCAAAGCCGTTCCTACAGCAGGTCGCACAGGGAGGCATCTAGGCAGGTCTTGAACATCTCCAGAGAAGGAGACTCCACCACCTCCCTGCAGCCTGTTCCAGTGAACAGTGGGACCCATGGAGACACGTTGGGACCCATAGACTCCCCCACCTCCCTGCAGCCTGTTCCAGTGCTCCGTCACCTCACTGTACAGAAGTTCTTGCATACATTTGTGCAGAACTTCCTATGCTGCAGTTTCCGGCCGTTTCCCTTTGTCCTGTCTCCACTCACCACTGAAAAGAGTCCGGCCTCGCCATGCTGCCCCCCACACCTTAGATATTTATAGACCTGGATCAGGTCCCCTCTCAGTCTTTTTTTCTCCAGGCTGAACAGACCCAGTTCACTCAGCCTTTCCTCATAGCAGAGATGCTCCAGGCCCCTCATCATCTTTGTGGGGAGGATGCACAGGGCGCTGTAGAGCACCTGGAGAAGCCCCCATCCCCCTGCAGCTCTCCCTCCTGACAACCCCCCTCCCCGGGTGCGTTACCCAGCTGCCACATTGTTGGAGTTCCAGTTGGGGTGGATGTAGATGCTGCTGACGCTGAAGGTCTGCTCGGTGCCCTCGCTCTGGTAGATGTTGTGGTCACCGGCGACGACGCGGTAATTCAGGTTACTGCAAAAAAAGCACAGGATCAGGACCCACACTGCCATTGCTTCGAGGGTTAACACAACAGGACTGAGGAAGTGACTTGGCTTTGATGAACAGACTCAACGGAAAATAATCAAATCCCGTTTTTAACTCAACATTTCTCATGTATACATTCATGCTTTCTCTGTGTGTGCAATAGAAACTTCTAATTCTTTATTGACACCATGGACACAGGGATAGAAAGGAGGAATAATAATCCTATGGTTCTATGATCTTTCAGGACCCTTCCAGCCCAATGTTCTCTGGTTCTATGATCTTTCAGAACCCTTCCAGCCCAATATTCTCTGGTTCTATGATCTTTCAGGACCCTTCCAGCCCAATGTTCTATGGTTATGGTTCTATGATCTCTAGGGGTTCTTCCAGCCCAACTATCCTATGGTTCTATAGTGAAGAGTCATCCATACAAGAAGATGCTTGCAGGGATCATTCTCCTTACTGGAAAGATCAGCAAAGACCCCCAGTCCTTAACAGAAAGGACTGCCACTCTCTGGGTGGGGACAGCTAATTTTTTCTTTTTTTTTTCTTTTTTTGATGGAAAAATGGCACTTTCAGGAGACAGTGGGGCTCCCACGGCTGCTCACCTGTCTACGCAGTGGGCTGCTGTCATCACCCAGTTCTGTCGGATGAGGGACCCTCCACAGGTGTGGTGCCAGCTGCCCCCGGAGTAATACTGGAGGGAGATCTGGGGGGAAACAGCACAGGGTGAGATGTGGAAACGGGAGCTCCCAGGGGGTGGGAACACAAAGGGGGCAGGAAACCCAAAGGGTATGGGAGACCCAAGGGGAAGAGAGCCTGAAAGGGACAGGAGACCCACGGAGATGGGAGATCCAAGGAGGCAGGGATAAGATATCCAAGGGGATGGGAACTCTGAGGGAACAGAAGAACCAAGGGGATGGGATACCCAGAAGGGATGGGAGCCCAAAGGAGATGGGAATCCTGAGGGGATGGGATGCCCAAGGAGATGGGAGATCCAAAGGGATGGGAGACCAGATAGGATGGAATCCCACTGGGTTCATCACCAGTCCCCAACACAATCCACCTGTGAGGGCCAAGCATGTGATTGCGCCTCGGTCCCCCCAACCACACGTTGCATCCCACCAGAACCCGGCTCTGCATGGCATCCTGTGGGGAAAGGACAGTGACAGCCGTGCACCCATTGCTCCCTGGAGCCCCAAATCTGTGAGCTCATTAGCAGCTAACGAGCCCTGGGCACAGGAACTCACCACACAGCGCGAGGGCAGCGAGGAGCAGGAGCTGCAGCATGGTGACAGCGTGGCCAAGACTTCACCTCACGCTGCTTTATAGGGGATGAGGAGGAGGTATGGGAGCCCCACAGGTGGCCTGGCCCTATCAAGCAGCCTTGGTCCCTTTTCCAAAACACACATGGCCATGAAAGTCGGGAGCCAAGAGCTAAAAGTAGCCTCAATGCAAGCAAGCTGCAGTAAACTCGTTTATTTTAATCCATTTTTCACAATGGGGGCAGGATGTGCTCACCTGGCTTCAGCTATCAGCACAG